CAGTCATTACAAAGTTACTTAAACCTACTGTCCTTCCACAAATTTTCCTTCAATTTTGTTTCTTCTTTGTTTACTTACAGCCTGTATGAAGGGATTAGCAAGTCTAAATTTAGACGTCCAAGTGTCCAAGCTTCACTGTAGTCAATGCATATATCTTCAATAACTCAGTGGAGCCAGGAGAGCAATTCTTCTTCTCCTAAGTGGACACACTCTGGCTGGTCAGCTGGGAGACATCTAGCCCCTTGTGACTTCTTTATTGACAAAGTCACTACTGACATCACTGTGAAGACTTGCAGTATTTAATTGTATTTAAACTTCTAATTTAATCCACCAGCGTGTAACCCTGCCAGAATCTGTGAATGCTGTGCCAGAGTCTATGAAGTCTGTACAGTTAAAATGTGATTGTGTAGTTACCATTACCAGTTACAGGGCAAGATAGAATGTCTCTTAATTAACTTAATAACCTGATAGGTACATTTAGACAGGGCTAATTAGGACTTTCTTGTAATTGGGCTTATGATTAATAGACTGTGAAGACTGTTTCATTTGTATTAAATGCCTGGAAATTTACAAGGAATAAAAATATGAGCCTTCATTGAAAAAGTAATAGAGGACCTCAGGATAGGAAAATAGTGAAAGATACAAAGAATTCTTTATAAATTATTGCTTATAAATTCTGTATATTCTTTATAAATAATTAATATATTAAACTACTACTTTATACCTGGTGGTTTTTTTTCAAGATCTTTTGCAGCCTCATTACACGTGCATGAGTCTCTCTTGGAAATATCCACAAATGAACTTAAAAAAGTTAATTTTTTAAAACCAATTTTAGTAACATAGTTCAATAAAACTAGTGAATGTAGGAGCATATGAAGATACCTTTACAAGATATGAAGAAAGAAGAACTGGTTTGCTGGGTAAAATCCATGAAGCAGATACCTGAAAGAGCTTATATCACTTTCCTGTTCTTTCTCATTCTGCCTTTAGACAAGGCAGAGCCTAATTTGGGGCAATATAATTGGGAAGCAGCAGAAACTGATGTATTAATCTGAGTACTCTAGTCTGTAGTAACCATGGAAGTTTCCTTTGGCCCCTTTTCTGTGCTCCAGTGTGTCTCAAGGGTGCACAGGGAATTCATAATTACTGACTTCTGAACAGCTTCTTCCCTTGTTACACAGCTGGGAGGAAGAGACTGTGTGGAGTCCACTGATAGAAAAGACAAAGGGACGTAGAGTGAAAGGAAGACATGGCAGTAGAAAGGAGATAGGAGGGGAGAGATTATGAGTAGTAAGCAGTTCATTTGGCATGGAGACCCAATCTGCCATGGCTTTTTATTGGTTGTTATAAGGCACGTTGTGCACAGAACAACAGACTTGCCTTATTTGAATTGTAGAAAACTTAGAAATTTGAGCTAAAAATGTGAAAAATATAATTAATATTTTTAAGAGACTTATCTTTAGGTGTCTTGCATTTTTGTCTTTATGAAGAGTTGAAACTTACCTGATGATTTGTTAATGAAAAAAAGAATCTCAGTTTCAATGATCTTGTGCCACTTTTGTTCTGCTTTTAATGCAGAGGCGTCTTCAGTGAGACTAGTTGGTCTTTTCCCTTTTCTTTTTCTTGTAAAACCTTGCCTACTTAGCACATTGTGAGTCAGATCAGACTGCTGCTAACCAAAAAGGAATATTATTTTTGTACTTTGGATGCTTTAGTTTTTTCTTATTTAATACGTTCTTTTTTTAGAGACATTTCAAACATGTGAAAGTACATTTAGAGTACCATGTAGTATGTTATTCCTACTGCCTATTAAGATGTCACCCGAGCAACAGATGAGGTAATTGAATAAGCTTTTGATCATTTAATTGGAAGTTTAAGTTGGTTTTGCTAGAGAATGGTGCTAGAATGAGAATACCCTTTAGTTGACATTCCTAATCTGTAGTATCTTTTCACCTCCACAGTAGTATGTGTTTTTACTTAAAAATTAGGTGAGCGCTCACTATGTACAGTTAATGTTGGTGAAGCTTTGTGCTTGTTTCTTGTTGGGTTGCTTGGGTTTGGCTTTATTTTTGTCTTGCCCCTCCAACCCTCCCACCCGAGTCATGGCACAGCCAAGCAGCTGAATGCAGGCAGTGAGCATATTTTCATGTAATTGCTAATTTGCTGGGGATGGAAAAAAATCTCAAAGGAAACGTGAGCATGAAGAGGAGAGGTTGAGAGGTGAGCAGATGGAGTTGTATCCCTTGATGAAACTGGTAGAAACTGGATGAAACTGGTAATTGTGTCCCTTTGCAGAAACTGGTAGAAGGGCAAAGGCAGTGAGGGTCATGGAACTGTGATCCTATTTCTGCGATGTCTGGCAGTGTGTGAGGCAGAAGGATATGGAAGAGAGATAACACCTTCAGCATGTGAATGTGAATTTCCACAGAGTATATGTCTGAAGCTATTGTTCTTGGAGTGGAGGTGTTCTTTGCACTTTGTCCAGAGTTTAGGAACTCCAAGGAAAGTGGTAAACTGGAGACCACTTCCAAACCTTGCTTGAAGCAGCTTGAGAAGTAGATTCCTAACAGTTTCTTTTCTCCCCTTTTGCAGTGGAATACTTGTAGTAAAGAGTTTTGTCTTTCTTAAATGGCAGATTTTATAACCTGAGTTGCCTTTGTGTTCATTTTAAGTTGCATTTACTTTTAATGACATTTCTGAGAGTGCTTGAGGCAAATCAATTTGAGGCTTATTACACAAATATATAGGTCTTTTTCTGAACTTCACACTCTTCAGTTTATGAGTATTTCAGCAATGGTTTTTTTTTTTTTCACTTTAGGTGTACAGGATTGGTACAACACATTTTTTATTCCAGATAAAAGTAGTGTCTATCTACAGTTCTTTATAATTTTCTAACTGCTGTCTGAGAATAGGACTGATTATTCTCGGGGCAGTACAGATCTCTATATGCCTCGGGTCTTATTATCAATATAACAGTAGGTACAAAAAGTGGTCCTTTTTAATGGAATCTGGTTTCACATCACCTTGATCTTTAGGTTTTTTGCTACATCTCAGAAGAGGTAAGGAATCCTATAATCAGTTCTATTTTATTAGATGAATTTCTGTTACTTAAAGACCATTTCTTCCTGCTACAAGCAAATCAGTTATGGCAACAATCAAGTAGCATTTGTCTTACTTTGGTATGTAAGCATTCTAAAATTTCTCATTTTTCTGTATTACATTTTCAATACTATGTTAATAGTGCAATGTATTACTAATCTAAGACAAAAATAATTTTCAAACCATGATTCTGAGAAATTATTTAAACTACAAGTCAGCTGTAACAGATTGGCACTTTTCCTTTGGTATTAGAATCCTCTGCAGTGGAATTACTACAGCTATTGTGGTCCATTACAAGCACTAGATTACATCTTCCCATTGTCACTAATTCTGCATTTTGGCAGGGAAAAGAATAAAGGTTTGCTGTTAGTGTTGCCAAGCAACTAAAATATGAATTACTGCAATTTCAGAATTTTTCTTGTATGATGTATATCGCAGGGTTTCTCCTACCTTGGTAAAAGGCAGTCCAGATGAAGTTACACTCCATAGCTCCAAGAATTCTAAGATTAGTAAGTAGCTTAATTTCTCCCTGTGGAGTTCCAGTTCAAAATCAGAGACAGCCAGGGTTTTTCATTTCACTGAGGATAAGTATCAAAAATGGCATCACAGAAGATTGTGTCTTAAGAAGAAATGTGGGCAGATGGGGCATATTTTCTCCTTTTTGTGGACAAAGAGAACTTGCTATGCCTTAGTAATGCTGTGTGCAGTTATTCATGTTTGCTGCTATTTGGTATACTTCCTCTGAAGTACCTTTTCCCCAACACACTTAATTGATGGTAATGCTAAGTAACTACTGACATTTGAAAAAAAAATTATTACATGAAAGTGTGTGGAAAAGATGAAGTGGGGATAGAATTAAGTGCATGTAAGTTGTGTTAAGGTTTATACTTGGGAATAGGTGAAGAGAGAATACATGCTCTGAATAACTTAGGTTAGTTGTTCTGGGTTTTTTTTCTCCCTTTTTTTTTTTTTTTTTGTTTGTTTATTTTTATTTTGTTCTCATTTTGTTGTACATTCCTGTAATTTTTTACTTCTGTGCAGCTTTTTCATTTTGCAGCAGCGGCTCCAGATCTCCTGTAGAACTAAATGGGTTTCAGGGTCACCTCACCTGCCCTGAGTCATTCATTTCCTCTCAGAGCACATGCGCACAGCACAGCCACAGCTTCTTTCTGGATTCCTAATGTGTTTTGTGCCTAGGAAGCCAGAAAGAACCCCAACAGCAATAATGGAGAGTGTTTCTTTTTCTGCAGCCCTGCACAGCAAAGGTACAGAACAGCAGTTGGATAGTACCAATGCATGGCGCAGAAGATGCTTTCCTGTTGACTTTATATTGGCTTTATATCCATATCTGCAACAATGTCATAAAATATTTCTTTATTTCTATACTATAGTATTTTTGAGGATTTGCTTTAAAAACCATCTACTTGTTTGATCAGACCTTGGAGTTCCCAGACATGAATGCATATTTCAACCAGACAATTGTCCTGAGTTTGGGCGAGATGAAAATTCACAAACTTTCCTGAATCTCCAGTTTCCAATGAGATGAAGCTTGGACGTAGTGGTCAGAGAAGAGCTACTTGCAGCTCTGAAGAGGTGCTGGTTCTGAGTAGTTAAATGGACAGCATTACTGTTTGGGATAAATTTGAACAGGTAGCAGGGTTTGGCTTTTTTAACCTGTGTTCCAGTGGATAAGAGACTGCATAGGCTGAGAACACTTCAGATATGAGCACTTCATACAACCAAACTAGCAGTAGTTTGAGGAGGTGGATGTTCTAGCTCCTGTTTTCTTCAAATTTGAAACACACCTTTCCTTTATAAATGCTCATTTTCTTTTGGCAAATACAGCATTAGTTTGGGTGCAATATCTCACTAATTTTTTGTTTTGGCTTAATTTTCTAAAGGAGTTGATGACCAAGCTGATAACGGAGACACCCGACCAGCCAATCCCATTTCTAATTGATCATCTTCAGTCCAAGCAGGGAAACCGTGGTCAGCTTCAGAGAACATTGTCTGGCTCTGCTGCCCTCTGGGCAGAGAGTGAAACATCAGGTATGTTCTGTGTGCTGGAAAGGGATGGTCTCCAATATAACCTTCCCACACTTGATTTCCTGGATTCACATGTACCTATTGAACAGGTACTGCTTAATGGTTTTGAGCATGCAGAATAAATCCTGTTTATCTTGCAGCTACTGAATTTAATTACATTGCTCTCTGTCAGCTCAGCCTAGGTATATATCGTGTGAATATGCATCAGAGTTACAGAATGGAAACATCCCAGTCTCAGTGAGAGAGGTTCCCTTGCTGTCCTCTTTCTTTGTTTTCTTTTTCCCTCCCATGGTGTGTTTGTGCCTGAGATTAAACTCTATTGAGATATTTTCTTTAATAATACATGTTTTTATATACCTATCATCCCAACCCTTAATGAGGAGCTGCTATGCTACTTTATAAACTCCAGTGTGAATAATTTATGATTGTAAATCTTCAGAAGCATTAAAATAATATTCTGAAGTAGTATCTGCTCTGATTGTATAGTAGAAGTCTTGGTTTTCTTATTCTGGTACAATCTACTATTACAATATTAGTTTTGTGTTTAAAAATTGGCTAATGATCTGTTTCAGATCATGTAGAACTTAAATAGTTTCTGGTAGCCAAAGTGTTAATTTACTGACAAATCAACCGTTTATATCAAATACACAGTTTTAACATAGGCAGTAAAACATGTACATATTGTGGACATTAAGTACTTTTTCTTAACAAAAAATAGGCCTTTATAATGAAAAGCATATTAATTTCTAAGTCTTGATATTTAAAAAGTGGAATAAATATAATAAATGTAAAAGCAATCAGAAATAGGAGAAAAAAAAAAGAGCTGTCTTTAATTTGGATTGATATACCTTGGGGTTTTTTTGATTAATTATTTGTTAAGTCTTTGAAAAATAACCCTACATATGTTATGATTATCTAATTTGATTCTTTTTAACAGAAAATAAAGGAACAAGAAGAGATTTTAGAAATTATGATAAGCCTTGGCAGGTAAATGCAAAAAAGCCTAAAAAGTCAAAGAGCGACCTTGCTGTGTCCAACATTTCTCCACCATCACCGGAGTCCAAGTCATGTAAGAAAGCTTCACTACATTAATAATTTGTGCATACTTTCCAACCTATAGTATGTTTTTCATTTGAATAAGGTTTAAAATGGAAAGCAAACTGTAAGCAGATGAAATGCCTATATATATATATATATATATATATATGTATATGTTAGAAGAGTTTGATTCTTGCCTTAATCTCACTTGAATTATAAATATTTTATAATGCCCTATGTTCTCATCTGTAGATATAAAAGAATTTTGGATAGATTGATTAAAAATCAGACTAATATCTGGGTGTCATGCACTATTTTATGTTTGGATACTGATTATGATTTGATGTTTTAGTTTGCATTGCCATTTTGCATGTGTAAAATCTGTTCCGTTGATATTGGCCCTAACAGATTTTTTTTCTGTGTGTCAGGCAATTCAAAACTATGAATTATGAACAGATACTGTTCAAGGTATGGGAGTAGTGTCAGCAGAACAGGTGTACTGTTCTGACAGTTGCTGAAGGAATCTAAATGTACACTGAAAGGAATGGCAGAATAGAAATAGAGCAGCTGAAGAGAATATTGTCAACTGCCTGTAAAAAACTAGTGAAAATGAAAACAACAGGTCTTAATGAAATATGCTTCCTGTGTACTGGCTATTGAAGAAATCTAATTTTTAACTTGATTCTTAATGTTGGGTTTTTTTCACAAATAAATATATTTACAAGATGCATACATACATAAATAGAGTTACACACCCAGGGAATTGTTTATATAAGATTTTTCTCCAAAATAAATTGAAAAATTAGATTTTCTTCTGTTGACTCTTGTAGCTTTTTGATATTTTTATAATAGCCAAGTCTTTATAATGCTGAGTGCGACTAAGTGTCAGATGAGAACAGAGATACAGTATGGTGCAATAGAAAATTTGTTGTCTTTCCTCTAAAAGCAATATGGGAAAGTCTAGACTTAGAAGTCAAGGAAAATTGCCCAGTGACCTCACTAAGTCAAAATACTACATAGCAATGGGTAAAGTAAATCATGATAAATTTATGCAATAGAAATACTGTGCTTTTGAGTGATTGTATGATTATGAAACATTTTTTACTGAGAATAAATAACTGCAACAAGTAAAAAAAGCTGTTACAGGTAGCTGTGTCCCATTGTACAGGATTTTCTCAAGATGATTTTTTTCTAGAAATTGAGTATTTGTCTCTTTTTCTTCTTCATGAAGCACATTGCTTGCTTCAAAAACACTCAAATGTGATCATCAATTCCACTGTGCCTCTCAATTGGGCACATGAATTTTTAAGTCTGTTCAAAAGAAGCATGTGTATTTTAATTTATTTTCAAGAATAAATAGAGACGTTCCAATAAATGCTTATAGTCACTCAGTCTGTCTCTTATCTAACAGATTTGCTAGAAAACAGCAATTTATGGAGATCCACTGTTAGAAACAGTGGCCAAAAGGTATTGTGAGCTGTTCCTGTCATCATACTGTGTTCATTCCTTCTGCCTTGTACTTGCTTTTCAGACCCTGTGCTATGCATCAAGTAAGTTTCATGCCATCTCCTAAAGATCTCAAGTTCTCTGCCTTTATCCCAGATGGGGGGTGACATCACGTCACTCTTCTCAAACATGTGCCTACTACAAGTTTTGTGCTTGTTAGTCCTTAGGTTGTCCCATTAGAGGGACAAAGAGGAGGCTGGACATTCTAAACTATCAGGTCTCATGTCAAGCAAAGAAATTTTTTATACATCCATAAAACAACTGGGGTCAAGGATATGTCCTTGTGGACTGAAGGAAACTTACTAATACTCTTTAGTTGGTAAGACTCTCAAGCTACTCAAGTGTAGAAACAGTGTGTAGGAGTGCAGCTTTGCCTACAAAGGAGGGAGGTAGAATTAGGGTGTGCTTAGTGCCACTGACATTCATAAATACATGGCACTACATGGGATTGATTCTAAGCTTGCTGAAAGAGGAGACTAATATCATTCCAAGGCCATTCTGTCATCTTTGAAAGGTCATAGTTGTTGTGGATGTTCCTGATGATTAGAAAAATGCAAATATCTCATTGATTTTGTGGAAGGGCAAACTTCACCCTCTGCAAGGATTATTGGGCAAACTTTCCGGAAAGGTGTTCCGAGTCACAAGGGAGAAAATCTGATTTGGAACATCAAGCATGGATTTATGAGACCATGTATGTCTGATCAGATCAACACAGTTGCCCTCCTTGGTGAAGTAACTGGCCTTGTAATCAAAGAAACAGTGATGGATGTTTCATACCATGACTTTAGCAAAACCCTTGTCAGCTTCCAGTTATAAGGATAACTCAGTTGATAAGAAATGGACTCAATAAGTGGGCAAGATGATGCATGGAAAGTTGACTCAGCTGGTGGATTCAGGGGATTGTGGCTAGCCAAAAGGTATTGTGAGCTGTTTCTGTCATACTGTGTTCCTTCCTTTCTCTAAAGTCCAATTGGAAAGTCTGTCTTTAATGGCATGCTCAATGGACTGGTACTGAGATTGATGCCTTTTAAAAGAATTTCCTAATGCCTTGGATGATGGGATAGAATTTCTCTTAGGTTTGTGGTTAGACCAAATTGCAGGAAGTGGTTGGTATTCTGGGTAGTGGGACTCCTCTTCAGGGAGATAAGACTAAGGAATGGGCTGAGAGGAACCTAGTGAAGTTCAACACAGGCAAATTCAAAGTCCTGCATCTTGGATGGAATAAGCCTGAGCAGTAGTGTAGACTGGGATTTGTGTGTCTAAAACTAGCTTTGCAGAAAAAGGTGTGGGATGCTGATGGACAAGGACTTGGAATATGAACGAGCTGTTGCTGTGTGCTCATGTAGTGCTGAAGGTGACCTGCATGCCAGGCTGCAGTAGCAAGAGTAGAGCCAGCAGTGGTTGTTTTTGAGCTGGCATCTGGAGTCCATTGTGAGAAACAGTGATGTACTGGAGAAAGTCCTGTGGAGGTTCACCAAGATGATGACAGGGTTGGAGCATGTGATGGACAAGAAAAAGCTGAAAGAAATTGGTTTGGTCATACTGAAGAAATGAAAGCTCAGGGGAGATTTCATTGTTACCATCAACTAGTATGCTGGAGGGTGCATGAGAAGGCATAGTCGGATTTGTCCTCTCAAGAGTGTTTAGTGAGAGGACAAGAGAAAACAAAAATTATACTGCATGGGTAGTCAAACACAGGAACAGGTTGTCCAGAGAGGCTTTGGAATTGCCATTATGGGGTATATTTAAAACTGAACTGAATATTCTGAACAACTTACCCTGGTACCCTAGGGCACCAGTTTGGGCTAGAGGTACTTTCCAGCCTAATTATCCTCTGCTTCCATGCTTTGCTGTTTAGGCATTTCAATTTTTTTCCATAACACTGATTTATTTAAACGTTAATTAATCCTCTTGTTTTCATTCCTTACACCTGCAATTAGTTGTGTCTGCAACTTTTTGAAAATAGTTTGTATATTTGAACTACATTTTCTTTTAGTTGCTATTGCAGAGGTTGGTTTCAGACATGTGCTTTTTTGCCATATCTTGCTTATTTTCTGCCAAATGGATTAATATTCTTATATTAATCTGTATATATAGATATAATCTGTATATATAGATTAATATTCTAAATGTGTTTTTGACCTTTATTTCTGGTTTATGCCAAAATCAGTGGGTACCATGTAGCCCTTCAACTACACAGATCAGAAAGCGTGTTTAGAAGGAATTCTGTCCTAATGTGCACACCATTATTCCATTTGTTTTGGGTCATCAGCTTCTACCTCTTGTACTTTTTTTCCCAAAGCATCTCCAAAGAGGTAGTAAGGACTCATCTAAAAAACAGAAAGTTTTGGACCTGCAGAGACCTAAAGATTTACTCTCAGATTTGTGTTTAAAAGAAAAGAACAAATTCCCACACCCAAGAGTCTAAAAAACACCCCCAAAGTGCCAAAACAAACCCAAAATTTAATGGAGTCCATCGGCTGTTATGTTCTGGTTCAGAGTTTTTGTCTTCTGACTGTCTGGTTCAATTGATCACAACTTTGTACATTTATTCAGAACTGTCCTTTCATAGGAATATTTGGGAACATGAGGATATTTAGTTTGTTTAATTAGGAAATATTTTTTTCCTTCTACAGAGTGATGTTGACTGCAGTGTGCATGTTATTGCTGCACAAATGTCTCTTCCTTATGCTTTCAACTTTTTTACTAGAGAGATACCTCCACTCCCTCCTGCCTGTTATGATGTCAGGTGCACCTGAAACACACAAACAGTTGTTAATATCTAAGCCATCTGACCAGTTGTTTGGTGTGTGCAAAACCAGAGTTAACCAGAAGCTGCTGCTGTTGTCTGGCAAGGAAGAAGCTTGGAGCTAGGGGTGTTTGTGTGTATATAAATGAAATGTTTAAATGATCATGTTCTGTATCTGAAGAAAAACAAATTTGGAAGTTTCAAACTAGTTCGTAAAACAGACTTTTTGTTTCCTAGCAAGCTACTTTTAGGCAAAGTAGGTTGACCTCTTCACTACCTCTGTATTGTATCAGATTACAGATCACCCTTTAATGCTGCTTCAGTTCAGCATTCTCACCACATCCCATATGCAAGTACAGTGTTGCATGCTACTAGTTGCTCTCAGTCAGTCTAGAACTGTAACCATCATTCTTTTAGCCTTCTAATATCAGATACTATGTAAACCAGTTGGGATTGATTATCCAACAACTCCAACCTGAATGCAAGATTTAAATACATGAGTAATTTTACATTATATGATATATATATTATTATATGATATACAGTAATTTTACATTATATGATACATATTTTTGTTCTTTGAGATGTAAGATGGCCATACAATGCATTAGTGAAATGTTGGATTTAATGAGCAATTGGTCTGATTCTGTCTGCAGATCATGCATTGAAAAGACTTGAATGGGTAGATAAAACCAGTACTGATCTTGTACCATCATCCAGTAGAAAATAAAGGTGTGCTGATTTGTGGCAGAATTCATAACACAATTGTGAATGAATCTAATGTGCATTTATGGTCAGGGCACACCACCAGAAAATCAGAAATACTGGTAAGTGTGTCTGTCCAGTATCCTAAGATGAGATGGTGAAATCTCAGCTCCCTAAAGGGAAACTCTACGTCTTTCAATACAAATGCTACAATGTAGATGTAATAAATCTTCTGAATTATAGGCAAATAATTTCAAGAGGAAGTGTTATATAAATCTCTCAAATAACAAAGATGAAGTTGAAGTGTATCATGTGGTAAGAGAATTGAAATTACTGATATGATTTTGTGGAATGATTGAGCATAATAAATAAGGAGGGAGGTCAGAATATAATGAAAGGATTTTGCTAAGTGTGTAGTGACACGTGAACGTAAACGATTAGTGACGGACTTTGTGCATACAGAGGAGGATCATGTATTTGAGAAGATTCCCAAGAAGGGTCATATGGTGTTTGTACAGTTCTGAAAGCTTCCAACAAAGGCATTCATTTGAAAATTACCAGTGCTTGTTGATCCTACAGCTGAGAAGAGAAAGGTTTATGTTTTGAAAAAATCTGTAAGCAAGAAGGAAATGAACTTGAAAGAGCAAACATGTGCCACTTTATTCTACTAAATAGATGTTGCCTTAATATCCATTTATTATTTGAGAGACTAGGTAAGTAGGAAGAACTATGTCTTCTCTAGAAGTAATAAAAATTTCAGTCAGTTCTAATTCTGTTTAACTTCTCTGTTTTGATTCCTCAGAATGAGCCAAACAATTGTTGAAACAAATTGTATTGAAGCATAGAAATAATTCATGACAGCATATCTATTTTGGTACCTTTTAACTGAAGTACAAAATGGCTCAGTAAAACACAGCTGATTGTCCACCAGCATGCAAAGCAAATTTCCACCATGGTTTTGACTGATTTCTCACTATTCATCTAGTGAGCTGCAGTCTAAGCTTCCTGTGTTTGTGAGACATTTCTCTGAAATGAGCAACCAGGTCACTGTCTTGAGCAAGTGTCTGTAATTTTCTAGAACAAGAGTGTTGAGACTTTCTTTTTCCTCATGTCAGTTGGTCCATAAACTTGGCAGCTGCTGATCCTGGAAACTCCACAGCTGTCAAGTAGCTTATGTCCCATGGTAAATTATCATGCTTATCCTTATCCAGCTTATGTCCCATGATAAATTTTGCTTCACAAGCATATGGTTTCTCAAAAATCCTTTTTTATTTTGAAAAAATGTGTTTTGTTTCAAACTGACATGGTATAAAATTCTAGATTGTGGAAATTTTCTGCAACCTGGAAGCTCCAAGGTTTGGTAATTTTTTATGTGGTTTTACTGTATTAAATTGTTGCCTGTTGGTATTCTGGTGGTACTGTGAGAATTTTTTGGTGTGACAAGTTCAGCATAAACATAGAAAGTCTGTCATACTGCTAATGAGTGATTGCTGTAGAATATAGTGTTGGCACACAGAAGGATGATGGTAAGATGACTGCAAAAGGACTCAAAGAGAGAGAACTCTTTATAGAATTTCTGTTCTAATTTATTAAAAAATTTATATTTACAGGTAGTAATAATTTTGAAAAAATACTAGGTGGAACATTTTGCTTTCTGTGAATAAGCAAAAAAAAAAGGATGAGAAGTGCTGAAGTTGTGCTGTTTAATTTGTATATGCTACAGTCTTTGAATGGAGTCAACTTTTGTTACACCAGAATTTAAGTAACTTTTAATTGATCTAGAAGTTCTTAAACCAGGGAATTATAAAGTAGTGTTTGAAATTTGTAAGTATCAACTAAAAATTAGAAAGCTGCTCATCTGAGTAGAGACTATTCATACTCTAATACCTTAAAGTCTGTATGTATTTACTGGGAACCACTGTAGCTCATTATTTCCATTGTCCTGAGAAGGAAATAAATTACTTGCCTTTTTTGAAAACAGAGCAGAACAAGATTCTGACACTTCAACTTGCTCCTCTCTTCTCTTCTCCTTATTGAGAGTTCTTATGTCCCTTTCCTTCTATTCTTATCACCGTAGGTCTTTTTAAATGTCTCTTTTGTCTTCTGTCTTTGAGAATGTCTGTAATTGCAGTCTAATACATTAACTTCCCTAATAGCCAGGTTCCTGAATGGGTATTACAGATCAGGATATACTCTGGGTTGTCAGAGTCTCCATAGATGTCTGTTTTGAAGATGAGTTGGTTTATGTCTACAGGAGGTAAAATCATTTTATTTGTGAAGGAATGACTTCAGCATAACTTTGTCCCATTTCTTTACCTGGAAAAGGTGACTATTGACTTAACTCCACAAGAGAAAGTTGAAGCTGATCCAAAGTGGAGCAGATTATGTATTCACACAGAGGAAAGTCAGCATTAAGGCAAATTTCAATACCAAGTTATTTAACATATTTTGTAATTGCTACCAGACTTGATGTATGAGCATGATTTCCCCATACCATCATAAAAGCAGTCTGAAGTCCCAAATTATCATGAAACCACCTTTTTAGCACAATCTATAGGAGTCTGTAAGTTGCCTTCTTAGCATGTAGAGAAAATGATGTTTATAAGCATAGATTAGTTGACAGCTGTCAAATTAGTAAAAAAAATTTTTGAAGCTGGCCAGGATATTTTAGGCTTTTCTTTGAAATTATTTTTAAGTAAATGGTCAGCAACTAGTAAATGATGGTTGGTAAAAATGCAACTGGTCCTTTCTGGTGGAAAGGTGGACTAGACATCATCATCTTCACGCCAGCATGGTAATGCTGTGTTTGGAGACAACCCAACTGTTGCATTTCTTGGCAAAAGCAGCAGCTCACTTAGTTCTGAACACTGGCAAAAAGAACATGTTAAACTGCAGTTCCAGAAACGGCATTGTTTTTGTTTTCATTTCTACAAATTGTTAAAAATGTTCACATTGTTCAAAGAAGCTCTGTTCATTGTGTGTCCTACATATCTCAGACACTCCTCTTCGTTGTAGGTAAACTTAGCTCAGCAGTTGAGATACTGTTATTTTAAAATTAAAGGCTTTGGGAATAGATAATGAGCAGCAGATTGTAAGCTCAGGTCTGTGCTTCCCAAAGGTTGAGTTTGTTTAAGTAGTGCAATGAAGATTAGAGGCTGTACGACATGAATGATAAGGACTTTCTTTATTTCACTGTTTTTTATGAACTTTATGATTTTTGAAAAAGAAAAAAGTTGTTTTAAAAGGTGTATCTAAAATATTTTTTTTCTTCTTGATAAAATAACTAGCAAAGTCAAAAGTTACTAATTTTTCTTTCAACATTTTTTCTTATTGATCCCTAGGCACCACAGTTCTTTTTTGTTGTAAATTAGATACCATCATGTACAATATTTTAAATACATTTTTTTATACGTTACTTTTATTATTTTCAATTATGAATGTTAATTATCCTGTTTACCAATTAATTCATTAAAGAATAATTCAGGTATGCATTTGTTCACAGATGTTTTTACTTCACATGGACCAAAGAAAATATTTCCAGCAATTAAAATAAAGGGATAGTTAAGTAATTTCTACCCAAGATACTTGGGCTTGTAAACTTACTGTGAAGATTTTTTTCTACTGTAGGAGTCTGAACTACCAAATCTAAACTTCATCTATATATCTGTGTATATTTAGTGCCAAGGTCAATAGAACATCCTAAATGGGATTGGAAGACAAAACCGGAGAACCATGATTTTGATGAACTAAATCATATTCTTCAAGAGAGCAAAAAGCTTGGAAAAGCCCTTGAGAATCTGTCTCGCAGTAAGTTGATTGATTTTAGTTTTTTAATGTAACCATGCAGCCTGAATTGTAATTTGGAAGCATGTATCAGGAAGGTGGTCTTCTATTCAATGAAGACCAAGGTCATTGACATCAGCACTTAAATTCCTGTTAAGGTTTACAGATTGTCTGAGATAATTCAGGAGCTCTCCTGGAAACTGAAAATACTACCCCTGCACCACCTTTTTTTTTTTTTTTTTACTTTAGTTTTCTACCAGTTTAGTGAGCTGAATTAGCTCATAAGGAGATCAATGCAAGAGGCTGGTTTAATGAAAATGGTGGGAACATGCAGCAGGAAGATTACTCCTTTGTGTGGTAGTTAAATGGATTAACCTTTGCAAAACCTTAGCCTCATTGATGGAGTTCAGACCTGTTATTGAAAAACATTTAGCTATTTTGTAGCCTTGATTTCATTGACCTTCTAGTTTTCCAAAGAAATTACAATATTTTAAAGCATCTCAAATAAATACTCAGAAACATGAAATACTGTTATTTTATAATAAACCCCATGTATTATCCCTTAAACACTCATGTAATGAACAGCTCTGAGGCTCACTGGATATGATCAGGAATACCTGCTCTTTTTTTTTTTTTTTCTTTTTGCTTTCTTTCCTGTAGAAGAGAATTCTGAAACACATTTGTGGTAGCAAATACTGCTAACAATTTTTAAAATATGAAATGATGACAAGTACTCTTTGCCATGCTACATGAAAACTAGGTGTGACATGATCTGGGAGATACTTGTGTGAGAAACATTTATTTCTTCTCTCATTAAATTTTATCCCTGGAAGTTCTTGATTCACTGGGGAATTTACAGTAAGTGAGGTCAGAATGAGCTGAATGAGGAACAGAAGATTTGTTTTGCAATTAATTTTGAGATTCAGCATTTTTTCAAATTGTGCGAAATACCTTAAACTAGTTTTCCCAAATCACACTCTCCCAAATGTTTTAGGTTCATCACAACAGTTAGATTCTGAACAATTTTCAAACTTGTACTATAGTTACAGAGCTTTTTTGAAATACTTTTCTAGTTAATTGATCTATCTGCCTATAAGGAGCTCTAAACCAACTCTGGTCAGCATCTCTGATTTGCAGCCTCACCGTTGCCTGACTGTGATGGATGTGGGTGTCATTTTCAAGCTTTTCTCCTTCAGAGGCTTGTAGCCAAGCTATGCACAGATGCAGAAACAAAATTCTGAATTTCAGAAAGGGTTATTTATTCACTCTCTGGAGATACAAACCAATCAGATGGGAGAGTTCAATAATTAATGCCTAAATTCACTCTTCAGTCTTGCATCTTTGTCTTTCCTTCAGAATATTGTGAAGTTTCCACTTTTACCTAGAACTATGCCTATACTTCCTTATACCTGAAATAGATTTTGTAGCATTCTGTACCTCTCCTTGCCCCACAGTTTTTTAACTGGAGTGTAAAACTCTGCAGCTCTGCTGGGTCCTACACTTGGACTGGGTGAATGTACCTGGTCACCATTGTAGGAGTCTGTTTTTCATAGTTATTTCACAAATGAACATTCTTCACTGTTTCTTGCTAGTACTTGATGCTTTCTGGTGGTTTGTCAAGATAATATGGGAGTTGAATCCCATCCCCCAGAGTGCTTTAAATCACTCACAGCCTGTAAATAAGTTCACTTTCATGAATGTGCTCTCTATTTCTTCATCCAGATCATTAATGGAAATATTGTCAGACCTCTTCATGATCCCATTTCAGATCTGACAACCAGCCCTTGAAAGCTACTCAGTAAGTGTGTTTTTTCCCACCAGATGTTTTTCTACCTCGCAGTGTTTTCATGTAGATTGTAATTCTCATTTTTTTACTGAAGTATCATCTAGGATAGTAAACAGAGTCTTATCGCTTGAGTATTTTGCATCTGCTTCTTTTTCTTATCCACTAGGCAAGTTTCCCAAGTTTCCCAATTCCAGAATGCAATTAGACTAATTTAATGTGATTAATTCTTGATAAATTCATGTCAGCTCGTTCTTATCGCCTTTCTATTCCATTAGATGTTGATACATTATTTATTTAACAGCTTTGTCTATGATTCTTGCTGTTGTCTGATTTAGGCTTGGTAGTTAGTAGTTGCCCACATCTTCCCTTTTTCTTTTTCAAAGATATGTATTTGCCCTTCTCTTGCCTCTCTGTTCCTGAAAGACAGTTGCCAATGGATTAGGGGTTTCTTCAGTTGATTATTTAAATGCTCTAGAATGAATTTCACAAGAGTCGTCTGATTTGAATGTATCTAAATCTCCAGCATATCTTTCAGCTTGCCTTGTCTGGCTTGCAGTTTTTTCTTCTTAAAACCACTACTGCTAAGCATCTGGCTGCAACTGATTTTCTTTTTTTTTGGTAAAGACTGGAGCAGAGAAAGTATTGAACACTGGGAATTCTTTGTATCATCTCTTATTTGCTTTCCTTCTCTTTAATGTAATAGTTCTGTATTTTAATTTGTTCTCCTTTTCTAGTGTATTTATAGTATCTTTTCTTACGGCTTTTTATGTTCTTTTATAGTTATTAGTTACTCTGCACTTTAACCTTTTTTCTTGTTGGTATAATTTAAATACTTGCATCAGATTAATTCTAAGACGTATCTCCTTGTTTCCAGGGTTTGTTCGTCTGATTTTCACTTCATTTCAAAAAATAAAAAAATCTTTGCAATTATTTTTCTTACCTGTCAGCATGATATTGAAAAATCAAAATGAAAAATGTGAAAATTTTGTAAATAGAGAAAAGGTGGAATTTTGAAAAGAAATTAATTTTACTGTTCTCGCAGAGATAGAATGTAGATTGCACATAGGAAATCTTAGGGGTCTTCAATGAATAGAAGGTCTAGGACTTCAAAAGTATAACGTGCATGAACTCATTCTGTGCTGTATCCAAACAAACATCCCATGTGGTGAATTTTAAAAAAGCTATCACAAGATCCCACATCTACCTCTCCTGAAGCTTATTTCGGACAGGCTAGTTAGTGCTTTTGTTTCTACAAGCATGCCATGCGTTTAGTGCTGCATTTGATACTAATCTTATTTTGAAATGGTGTGGGACAGACACTGGGCTCAACAGCTGAGTACACAAATGATCAAAATGTACTATTAATGGCTTTTTACGGCACCTTCTCTTTTTTTCCTTCAGTATTTCAACAGTGAAGAGTGACACATGAAATGAAATGTTTGAAGTTAAATGAATTTTCCGTCAAGTCCTAGAATTTATTTACATTTTAAAGATAAGCTTTGGATCTTCTAGTGAGTTTCCATGAATTTGTTGCCTGTTAGGCAGCTGACATAGCCTGTGAATTAAATTCCAGTTTCTGTTGCTTCATTTACTATGCAGTCTAGATATCTGCTTTGAGACAAACTTGTGCACTTCATGCAAAATTAGGACTGCCTGTAAGATTTGGAAGGTGAGACTCGGGCACTTAGATGTCTGGTCTCTTCTATATTCATTCCTAGTGATTAAAATGGAACTTTCTTTTCTTTGGACCCTTTCTCCCAATCCCTGTCAAGAGTGAGTAATTCTGTGCTTTAGTAGGTCTGAGAAACCAGCAAATGACTTCACAGTCAGAGCTGAAAGTATCCTAGGAGTTTTGGGAGTCTGGAGAAGATTATTTTTGTAATTATGGTCCAAGTGTGGTGGAGCTTGCTGATTTAAGTATACAATTTTTCAGAGGCTTAGCCACATGGGAGAGCTGGATTTTGTTTGCTTCTTTAGTCAGCTGTATGTCATTGAACTGGATTTGGAACTATCAAGTCATCTATTTAGGGAAGATTTTGGTTTATAAAGCAATCTACAGGAATATCCTGTGTTTCCCTTGTGCATGTTTAATTTTCTTTTATTGCAAGGTCTCCTATCTTTATTGTTGTCATCCTTCTTCCTGTGCTGATCATAAGGAAGAAAAGTTCTATCCTGTTTCAAATATATACTCTTGTATTTCACCTTCTGGCCTGTTTGCCTTTAAACAGAATTAAAATCTGTAAAGCTAAGGATCTTGCTGATGAATGCCTTTGATCTTGCCTTTGTCATTCCCCTATTTTCTGAGGATGGAAAAATAGATAATAAGATATGGAAACCAGGGAATTAGGAGAGTTTTGAGTAGGGGAAAACTGAGGACTAAATCAGTGAGATCATGCTGCAGTTAGGTGGGAAGTGTGCATACTTGATGAACAACTTTGCATCTTTTATACACACAGTTAAGGATTAGGGTGCATATTGAAAATGTGTGCATATTAAAGGTGCTGGTAAGTGCATGTGATGAAAAAACATCTTCTGCTGTGAGATAGGTACTCTTTCATAATCACAAATAGCCTTTTAGTGAAGGTGACTGACATTTTGTTAGTAGTGTTTAAATGGTTGTTCAGGCCAGGTGTACACTTCAGATCAGAGGGGAAGAAACGAATTTGTCATGCTTTGAATTCAGTTGATATTCTAAGGTAAAAGATGGTAGTAAGTTAACATTAACTGAAACTATGAATCCAAGTTAGTTTCAGGGAATCCCAGAAACAATGGTATCTATGTGTAACCAACAGGAGAAAAATCCTCTTTTGTTTCTAAATTTTGAAGGGGAATAATCAGTAAACAATCAGTAAATGAGAAAACCGTGGTTTTCCATCTAGTAGGAGATACTGCTGGAAATCATAAGGAATTATAGAATCACAGAATGGTTAAGGTTGGAAGGGACCTCCAGAAGGCATCTGGTCCATCGCTACTGCTCACGCAGGCTCACCTAGAGCCAGGTGTCAAGGCTCTTCAATACCTTCAAGAACAAAAGATCTCTAAGTCCCTCCAGAGTATATCAAACAGTTATTTATCATAATATTAGAATCAGTTGGTGGTGTTTATAATTTTGTTAAGAAAGGCAAGTGTGATATTACCTCTTTAAGAAAAGTATAAAATAGTAAAACGTAAAAGCGTATGTTCTGTTTATATTTCACAGAGAAGAAGACAAGCAACAAGAGTAGAAATCTCATAACTA